CCACTTCTGTCTCTCCCTCTGTCGATTTCCTCTTTAGATTCCCCTTCGCTCTTACCTTCCTCCTTCTGTCCAAAATTTCACCTCCTCTGATTCCATCTTTCCCCCTTTCCCCATCCTCTGTGCTCTCCCTGGCTGGTCCTCCAATACACTGCCTCCTCCCTCAGCTGTTAGACCCTCAAAGGTCAGTCTGTCTGCAGGGTCATCAGTCTGGGGTAAGGCTGAACTTTGACCCTGAGCCCTTGATGTATTCCAACCACAAACCCACAGACACAGTCACATAATGGACATGTGTGGCCTCACAAGAGGCCCGTTTCATTGCGGTCATTTTTGATCAATTTATCACTTCTTTCTTGTCACTTATTGAAGTCCTGTCTGTGCTGGTGAAGTCTCTTCCTGAGCGGCTGCTGTGCTGGCTGACAAAGACAACGCCACTGACAACAGGATCTTTGCGGATGATTAATACAGTCACCATTCATCAGCTAATCGATACAGCGATGATTGTGAACTGCCTATTGATTATATTCAATAACTACAATAGATACCTGACTACATGTGAAGACAGACAAGACAAGAAATCTGAACACTCACATACACACAAGCCCCACCCGCCACAAAAACTGTCCCTGAATGGAAGATTTTCCATAAAGACCCCGGACAAACTGGCCTGCCTGTAAATATTTACTGACTTTAGTCCAGGAGGACCACAGTGAGTGTGTCTACTGTTCTGTTTGTTCTTCATTTTTTCTATGTGGAAATAAGGCTTTAAAAACGTATATGTGAAACACAATCCAGTAGGTTTCATTTAAATAAAACTTGATTTAGTTCACAACAGGCACACCAACCAACATGCTGCATAATAACATGTCATTTTCATGTAACATGTAATTTCACTGTTTTGTTTTTTTCGAAATAAGGCGCAGTAAAGAGACATTCCATTCAAAAAAATGACTGAAAGCATATGCTGTACACTTGGGTGGACATTTGGGGACAAAAGTTTTCTATACAGGCAAATCCAGTATTCATGTATTCCGTTTATAGCCTACCGGTCAGTACTGGCCCCCTCTTGTCACAAAAACTGCATCGTGCAACTGCAATCTTTCCGCTTTAATTGAGGAACTGGCCAAACGACCTTTGACCTGCGGGTCATTACCGTATTGTGCACCGGGCCGCGGAGAGCTGCCACGCCATTTGGGAGGGGAGTCGCTGAAAATGGATTCATTTTGTATGGCCTGTGGTGCTTGATACGCACCGACTGGAAGTGGCTAGTAACACAAATGTCTAGAGAAGCCTAGTTCAAAGCCTACGGGAGCGATCGGCTTTATAGGCTATCACCAAACCGGAGCCAAAAACCCGCTCATGGAAGGAGCTGTCGGGCCACATAGGCTTTAACAGAAACCATGAAACTGCTGCACCGGTTGTGTAGTCTACTTCAAGTCGACAGGGCGCAGGACAAGGTGTCAGGGTCCCAGTCCTGCGTCTGCAGACTTTTGATTGATACAATAATTTTTATCCTATACCAATAACCAATAAAATATTAATAATCATTTTTCCGGAACACACAGCTTTAAAAACCATTGGGAACTATGAAAGGACAATTTCACAAAACATCGAAATATCAGCTTGGGCTTTTTCTACAGGATTTTTCTAAATATGCAGGCGGCATCTCGAGTAATAGCTTTTCAATATGTTGTGCATGTGACTGCCCCCAGAAATGTTATAAGAACTGTAAGTATTACAAAAGCTGCTCTTGTCCTTATTTAAAATATACTTAAGCTACTACATTTGGAATTTACATTTTTACCTCTCCATTTTTCACCTGTCCTCAATAAAAACGAGAAACGCTTACCACACACCTCGATATGTAAATAACATCAAATAGACGAAACTGTATTGTAAAGATTGTCTAATGTCAAACATGTTTCTGCTATTCTGATATTTCCTGGTGTGCCATGCTTTTCCGGCTATGTTTTATATTTGCATGAAGTCGAATTTTAAACAATATTATTTCTGTAAATATTGTAATACAGATAAATTACGACACCGTTGGGCTAAAAGTGATTTACACACGTCAACATGCAGATGTAATATAGGCCTACTGTTTATATAGGCCTATGGGAATTAGAGTTTCAAAATATTCCCTAACTTGTCTGCTGCAGATTTTAAACTACTTCGAATTGAAGATCGAAATTTTTAACACCATTAAACTGTAGGCTGCAAACTATAATCTCAAAAGACCTCAATTCCAATTGGAATAGTGCAAAAATAAATAATAAGTTATGGGTTTTTATTCAAATAGTATGCATATGAACTCCATTTTAGCGCAAGCTCCACAGATAATCAACTACTGAAAACAATCCCGAAATGAACTTGGAGCAGTGGTCGTAAAATAATAATATGCAAACAAAATCTGCATTAATATTTGCATATTATCTAACAAACCTGAGGCATTAAAACCCGTGTTGTCGATTTAAACTGTGCCATGAGGTAAGCATGGTCAGTGTTATCAATAACTGACTCCAGCGATGCCTCCTTCACATACAGTAACAGACCGACTTGGAAATGTTGACTTTATATGCAAAGCAGCAGTGTGGACACAACTCGGCACAATTCAGACTCAATTGCCTTTTAATTTTAATTTCAAGCAAAATGTTCTGCCATTTCCAAATAAGAAATGATGGACATTTAACTGTTAAATTACGCAGATGAATTGGGATAGCCCAAGTTATTAAAAGACAAATATTCGAGCTATTAAAATTATACTGAGGCTCTAAAAAGCTTTAAGAATATAAGATATGATAAAGAAGGCACAGCTCAAAAATACCAGATGTGCACTCACCGCAAAGGCAGAATATCAAACAAACATGATCAAATAGTCTACATTAAGAAAGGGCCATGGATAATATACATGTATTATTAATATCAACAGGCCTACGCGCAGGAGCAGTAGGTTTAGCGTTAAGACTGTATAAAGTGGAAAGTACTCGAATGTGTTTCTCTGTGGAGAAGCTACGGATATATAGTCTAACAAAGTAGTAACTTTGGTCATGCAGTAAAGGCAGACTGGTGGGAAATTAATTATCGAAATGCCTGATAAACACAAACAAACAATCGTTTTCTTTCTTTAGAGCTGCAGTATAAAAGAGAACTTGTCTGCCAAAACGTGGGTTCCACTCTCATGGGGTTTCAATTCATATGTGCGATGTAGTCCACATGTTTGCTATTTATTATGATGGCTTTAAACTGATTATGATGGCTTCAAACTGCTCACACTTACGACTGCATGTGTTTTTCATATAGCCTACAAGGTCACTGGTAGATCGACACAACGATGAGACATTTCAAATTACAAGCCTAACAATCCTGTCTTAAAGCCGTCGGTAGGATATAATGTACATTATGTATTTACCTACCAAAATCCAAGATGTAGCCCTGTTAAACTCAAGCCTTGTTATCAGAAAAAGAAACAACAACAAGAAAAACTAAATATCTCTCGATGTTCATGCGAGGATCTATGTGTTAAGGAAAGATGGGGCACTAAAGAGCCTAAACATGACCTTGTAATGTAGCCCTCTCTTTTAAAAAGAGACCAAAGGTCAAACAGAAATGGACAGAACTGTGTTTGTTCTGAGCCTGTTGGTGCATGATGTAAACACTGACCAAATGAGATCTGAGACAGCTGTTTAAGCGGGATTTTGGTGGCAAATGATAGGATGCAAGGACACAGATGATTCAATGCTGCAGCAGGTCACCGGGCACCCCAGGCAGCCAGCGGACAGCGAGAGGCAAGCCTCGGCTGGGAGATGTCCACTGGCCGCTCTCCTCCTCCGCTCTGCAGGTGTGAGCTTCTTGCTCGACCTTATAAAGCCCAGAGATCCCCTCCTTTTAATTGATTTTCTCATAATTAGCTCAGTCTGTCCATCGATCTCCCTTTGGCGGCAGATCAGTCCTTAACGTGTTGAGGTGTTATTGTGCATCTGCGGCATCGAGATACCGACGAGCAAATATCGACCACATTGATTAAAAACCTCACAGTGCTGGTGAATTTGGCCGTGAACTGCCCTGTTACAGGTTACATTATGCACACATTAAGACACAGGTTGCCTATTAACACACCGGCCTGCGCGCCCACCTGTGCGTAAAGAGCTCCCCAATCATCCATGGCCTTTTCACAATTAGGAATCAAACAACAAAGAACAGAACAAGAGGAATCAAAGGAACAATATAGTGTAAATAGTATAAATCGCTATGTCTGTCTCTATTTCACCATCATTTCTCCCTTCAGTCCCGATCTCCATGCTGTTAGATGTGCATGAGCTCAAATGAGGCGCAAAATAAAAACACTGGATTCAGCAACAATAACAACAACCACACATTCACTCACGTCTTTTATATGAGGCTAATGTTTTGACATTCGCAGATGTTGGGAGAAAGCAGTACAGGAGCAGAGCTGCGACGAGACTTCCGTATAGGCTATGCATAACAGAGACCATATTCCGAATCAAATCCTCCCGCGATAATACAACATGCAGAGCAGTCAAGAAGAGACAACGCTATTCGTCCACGGAGCAAAGGAGCAAGGGAGGACAGGAGAGAGTGAGGTAAAGAGAGGGTAGGAGAGAGAGTGCAAACACGAGGGTTGCCCCAGTAAATTAATTCCTTTCTAATCAATAAAAAAGAAAAAGCCCAGCCCTGCACAGTAATCATTAGGACCGATATTTCTCTACCCCTCTCCCCTCTCAACACTGGCTTCCCCCAGTACCCTGCCACGTGAGAAAGTCGAGCTCCCCTGCAGTTGGACTTACATCTTTCGCTTTGTAGAAGTGACACGGAACAGAAAGACTGTGATTTGAGAAGGGGAAAGGTAAGTGTATAGTACAGCTGAGGAGAGGAAGATGAAAAGAAGTTAAGTCTGCAGGATGCATATCTGAGCCACCCCCACCCCGCCCACAGAATCATTCTCTTGTTTTGTTGATGTTGTTGTTGTTAATGTGAAAATTTACCAGTGCTTCCATCGATGAACGTCTCCATCCCCGCCATGCGAGCAGCCTGTGTAACACTAACCTTTCATGTCTCCCCTTTTCTCTCTCTCTCCTGTCCCTGGTTGTCCCTCATTCTCTCTCCACCTCTCACCCTCGACGTGTGTCTCTCAGCGGTTTCCATGGCGACCCGGTGGCTGTGGTTGCGCTGCTGAGGAGAAAGAGGAGCGTGCATGAGAGAGGGGAGGCTGGAGGAAGCCAAGACGGTCATTTAGATCAGTGCATGGACGGGATCACGACACATCTGAGGTGATTAGTGAACAAAACCACATCTTGGACTACATATCACTGCACAAACCCCATGTTAAGTTCTCCTAAAAATGCAAGCGTATTTACTTTGTAGCTGCAAATTTGTTTAAAAGGCCCAGTGAGACCCAGCGGGAGAGTGCCCTGCATAATAATGCCATAAAACATTTATCAGCAAACCATAAAGCTAATAAAGTTTAAATTAATTAATCACAGATTAATTTAATTAACCTGTAACTTTATGACATGACAGATGTTTCTGACATGACACAGTAAACACAGCAGGAGCTTTGCTGTTTTGAATATGAGGCCTCCTCAAATTGGAGACTCCTCTATATGCTGCCACCTGCAGGCCTCAGTAAACACCGTTGGAGCAGAGAAACCTGCAGGTCCTTCAGCTCACACACTCACTGATGGTGTCTCCTGGGATGTGCATGCTGTATTTGACTGACAAAGACAAAGACTATGACTTAATTGGTTTAAGCTAATTACAACACATTTTGTGTAATGTTTTATAATTTATTAAATCATTATTTAAGGAATACAGACATAAACAGAATAAAAATCAAAATTTCTGGCTAATAATTAAGTTGCATAAAAAAAAACATTTCAAATTCAAATGTGCTCCCTGTGTCCTAAATATCTTGTTTGAAATCTCTTATGACTCACTGACACACAGTGCAGATGTGAACCAAGGAAGAAAGCTTTCAAGTTCACCTAATCTAATTTTCGCTCCTCAATAAAAGTATAAAAAATTTCCCCATCAGAGGGATGTACCATATGCTACAGGGTATACATACAATAAAGGCAGCCCCGGTGCGGCAGCAGAAGGCTGTAGTGTCCATCAGCTTTAGATGACACGATTCAATACGAGACTGATTTAGGCCTGAGCTACTGCAAGATGACTTGAGTCTTCATCCAATCAAGGAGGTGTAAAGAACACCTGTGGACAGAGGAATAAAGTCTACAGGCTGATGATGACCAGTGTCTTGCCACAGAACCTGACATTACATTAACTTTTCCCACCACAATACAATTTGCAGCACGGAACACAAAACCTGTGATCTCTCTGTGAAGTGTTTTAGTCAATAAACTGAGCATTCACTGCACAAAATGTTCACTATGTGCTATGGTGTACGTAAAAGGTTGTTTTATAGATTTGACTCCAAGTTATTCTGTACTGCAGGTAAGAGAAAGTGAAAACAAATGTTGAACCAGATCGATTCATTGAAAAAGCAACATGGTTGGATTATTTTCCAACATTGGCTCTATAATTGTTTTCCTTTGGTTGTTCGGTCCCCACCCTACTGCATCACAATACTGCCACAAACCAGCCCCAGCGTCGTTACCATAGCAACGGGAACTTTGACCCCATCAGTGGAATCCTTGACCTGGATGTAGATCAGTGTGGCATCAAGCGAGCCTATCGGTTTAAAGCTGCTGCTGTGCAGAAATTACAGAGGAGGGGGTGGTTGTGGTGATGGGGTGTGGCTCCAAGGGTCAGCAGGAGGCTCGGGGTTAGCTATGGCTGACAGACTCAAAACAATCTTTCAGCTGTGGCTATCAATGTAACCTTGGAAAAAAGGAGGGTGTTTGTTAAAACAATAGTTGGACATTTTGGGAAATGGGTTTATTCACTTTGTTGCTGATTGATGAGGACTGGCACCATGCCCGTCTGTGAAATATAAAAGTGGACCCAGCAGCCAGCTAGCTTAGCCTAGCATAATGACTGGCAGCAGAAGAACCAGCTAGCATCAATCTGTCTGGAGGTAAAATTCACCTTTCAGCACCTCTAAATGCTCACTAACTAAAAAAGTCACTGCACATAAGAAATAATCCCGCACATGAAACTAAAGCTATCATTTTAACCCTCCAATCTACAAAATGCACAGTGTTACTTAATAAAAATGTTTTAGAGGTGCTGGTATTGTAAGTGAAGATAACCAGCTGCTGGATAGATAGGACAGTGATGTTAACCTTCACAACCATGCACAAGAAAGCTAATATGCACATTTCCAAAGTGTTTAAACAGACCCAATTAGTCTTTAAGCATCCAGGCTAAGACAGTTGCAGAAATGTCAGTAAGAAATGGGTCCAGCTGTTCAAGCAGTTTTTTGTTTTGCTTTTTATCCTGATGGAGACACCACATTGAAGACCTTGGACTTGTTGATTGTGCTCTGCCTAAGTCTTGTGCTTGGATATTAGTGAGCATAATTTTCCTAAGTGCTCGAGATATGCACCCCAATTTCTTTGACAAACAAATTTCTTATAGTAGCAGGGTCACCTGAGACAGTCATTGTTCAGAGGAACATCCTTTGAGATGGACCTCTATTGTTTTGCAGACTTCTCAGAGAGAGTGCCTAGGCCTCCCTGTAGGGAATCCCATCACTGGTCTAGCTTTAAAGCTGGGTGTGGTGAGAGCTGGGCTTTCAAGAAACTCAGTTTTCCCTAAGGCTGGCCTAGAGCAGTTTAGCTGGCCATCAAATAAGGCACACTGTGAACAGGGTAGAAACGGCCCTATCAGGTTTTTCCCCAAGGGCTGGTCCTGCTTACTGTTCTCCATCATAGCAAGTCAATATACACTCAGCAGCATTTTTAAGGGGTGGTTGTGGTCAGAGTTCTCTTAATAAAGATGGTGTCTTTGAGACAGCAAGTACCAAGAAAGTAACAGTGTGCTAAATATTAAAAACAGAAGAGCTGTGAAGAGATCTGGCAACAACATTGAATCAACACGAAATGCCAATAAAACTTACAATGAACTTAGCTTTGCTGCATAACATTGAAGGCTGCATTTTATAGGCACAGCAGATAAATGTAACAAGCTATTTACCACAATGAGCCAACTAGAAAAAGTCAGGCTAAGAGGTATCCCTGACCACTTGGCTGTAGAAGGCATATGAAGCTGTTTTACCATGTGCAGTACTTTTGATATGTAAGTGAATAAGCTAAATGCAGATAAATTATCTAAGCAGATGAAATACTGAATGTTAAGAGTTCATTATCTAACATGCAGTTTGAGTGTTTCAGCTGATATTTTCCTGAGGTAGTCACATCATCTCCAAATACTGTACGATCTAACCTTTAATACCAGACTGCCTACAACCCATCAAACTCCCAAACAGAGTACATGCTGATTTCTAAGTGAAATGAGGTGGCTCTTCGAAATGCCCTTTAGCTGACTTTTACATCATTTATTAATGCAGTTGAGAACTATATTGGTCAACATCAGAGGATTTAATTACACCCAAGGAGACCTGGTGAAAAGTCAAAGACCTCACTATCAAAGATTCAACATGCTACAGTGAAATACTGCACTGACTCTTTTATGCCATTCCATTTTTAACTTAAGCATTGATTTAGCATCCTCAAGACATAAGGAATACTTCTATTTATTCTCATTTAGCTCTCCATGAATAGAATGAGGACTTTGCATTAATCTTTGTACAGACTTAAATAAATGAGAATATAAAAAAAGATATTAAGCTTAACCTGAAAACTACGGGGGGCTTGACATAAGACAGTAGGACACCACTGATGACATGGGCACCAAGGGTATGAAGGTATAAGGGTATAAGGTCGGACTTTTTATTTATTTATTTATTTTTTATTACAGTTGAGAGACATTTATTAAAATAATTTTAATATGCACATTTTGTTTTTGGGAGGGATCCCTCCCAACATCAGCCCTCCTCAATTAAATGTTTACTCAGTTGTGACTTTTAATTTAAATTGCCATTTTATGCATCACCTTCAGGAAATTATGTTTCATTTATAAATGATATTGAATGTTTTACATTATGATTACCAAATTGTTCAGCATTTGAAACTGAACCAAAGGCACACTTTGGCAATTGTTCTGTATCACGCAACTCAACATGAAAAACAGCAGTGTTGTGTCATTATGTAATTAGGTCTTCAAAATGCTAAAGGGACAGTACAAGGAATAGAAGAAATAGCATAAGAGTACTCAGGTTGTGTTTCAAGCACACACAATTCTTGGGGTTCAACATTCTGACAGCTTAGAGTAAGGAGAAATAATTAAGGATTTGATTCATGGTGACCTGCATTTGAGGGACCTCTTCAGACCGTGCAGGGGCAGGGAGAGGGCACACTCCTACCAGGTATGGAGGACCATGAAAAATGACAACTCAGAAAACAATTCAAAATAATAGAGACAAAATATAACAAAATGTGAGAGAAAGACATTCAAAATTAGACAGAGGGATCATCTGACAAGTGCTGCTGGTTTAGGAACATTCAATGACTAATATCACATCAGGGAAATGACCCCGATATATTTTTTAAAACGTTGCCCTAAAAGCTCAGAATGGCCACAGCTCTTTATAGCATCTGAAGGGCCCATACACAAGATCTCCAAATAGGCATAACAAATTTAAATCATTTTTGAGCAACAATGGAGGTCCGCACAGATGAATAAGCTAATCCAAGACCGATTTACATTAACAGTGAGTAGCTGCAATTCATTGTTGGTTTTAGCCTCTGTATGGGGAGTGCTGAAAATAGTTAATATAAAAAATGACCAAGCTTTCCTTTAAATTTAAAACCATATACAGTACAGCACATGCACTGGATTGCATGTTTAACTTCAAGCATTTTCATTTGTCTATAAAAGGTTTCCTATTTAATAAGGGCAACTTTGTTACTGCATTGAAACAAACCCATGTTTCTGAAAAATCCAAGTGATGTAATCATAAGAACCGAAAATTATACTTAAGTTATTGATCCAAAATGGTTTTATAATTTATAAAAAAAGAACAAACTGTTTTAGGCCATCAAACCTTTATTTGCCAGAAATGCCTAAATATACATTTCAAATAAATATTTCAAAACAAAAATTCTCTAGCAAAACCAAAATTTAACAAGTGTTCCTCTGAATGAGTTCAGTTTTGCTTCAATCAACCAACATACATATATCACCAAATTAATTTACCAAAAACATGAAAGTGAACATGGAAATGTCCATTGTCGCTCCTCGTGCCCATCCCTGCAAAGTCCTGCACTTCAGACAGTAGCAAGTCTGCCTGCTTAAGTCGTTCTCTGTATGAAGGGACTTAGAGTGAGGGGCCTTATTGATCGTCTTCTATAAGTGAAGTCCAGGCATTAGTTCCAGCAGGGTAAGCAGACGGCTGTTCATGAGCCACTCTACTGGGCCTACATAGCAAGGCTGAGTGGAGCTGGGATGTGCACTTTTGATTTTGATCTCCCCAACATCACTTCTATTGACTGACGCACTGTCCTGTGCTTTACTTGCTGAGGCAAGCACTTGCTTTGGCCTTGCTGGAAGCCCGGACACAAGCCACCGTTGCGTTGACAAGCTTGTGATGAAGAATCTTCCATGGTCTACTGAGACCTAGACCTAATCACTGCTGTCATCTACTGGCAACTGCCGCAGCCACCGACCATGGCAATCACAAGCTGGGTTATCGTGGAACACAGGGCTGAGAATCCTAGTGTGCATCTTGGCAGATACACTACCAGTCAAAAGTTAGGATACACTTTCCATTTCAACTCAGTGGGAAGGTGTATATGTGGACTAGTCTCTCCAAGTCTGAGCAAAGGTCATTCTGTCATGAGCAGCAGCCCACTTTTACCCTTTGTGCTCATTTGTATGCCAGATCTTAAAAATCAGAAACTCTTTGTAGGCGGGTTACTTAGTGCTTTAAATTAGAGTATGATCCAGTTAATGCCATCATTTTTCATCACATCCAAAATTTTGCTAAAGCTGGTCTGTATTTTTAATATCCCATGAGCTATGTTGGAATTTGCATGGCCACTGTCTATGCATAAATTTGGAACAAATGCATAGGGTTTAGCATGTTTGTAGCCCATTAGGTCTGTATTTGTGCAGTCTCAACCTCAACCCTTAGCATGTGAATGTGTCCACACTGTATAGTGGTCTGTGGCAGCCCAGATGTCTTAATTTTATTTACACTTAATATTTATGTTGCCGCACAGGCGCACTTGCACCTGTTCTGACACCAAGACCTGTTTCATCATGGTGTCTCACAAAGTAGCACCTTTGCATGAATCCAAAGGAAAAGCACATCAATCCATTATCATTTTTTTTTACAAATTATGGCAACGTTTTAACTAAAAGACTACTATAAATGTTGGGCTTGTTATGAAAACAAACAGATGGTAAGTGTTGCCATCTAGTGGTCATTATATGGATTACAACTACAAAAGAAATCCTTAAAATTCTTCCAAATCTGCCTGTAGCCATAACTTTCAGCAGCATTCCCTTCTAATCCAAAGTTAATAAAGTACATCCCAAAGAGTCTAAGCCTATACAGCCCAGTGAGTCTCTGTGTGCCCACCATTACTGGATGGCAGCATCCTTCTGGTTCTCAGCAGCCTTCGGCCCTCCTCATAGTCATCCTGGTCCACACTGATCAGCAGACGGACGCCCTCCGAGCCTGCTGCCATCCTCAGGGAATCATTGATGAAGACTCCTTTCAAGGCCTCAAGCAGAGCTCCGCTTAGATAGTCACCCCAGAAGGCCTCAAGGTTGTCCAGTTCTGTGAATTTGATGTCGCAGATGATGGAACCCAGGTCTCTGGCACGCAGAAGTGAGTTGGCTTGGCTGAACAACTCAAACTGCCGCTCCAGGGGCTGTCGCTTGTTCGAAGAGACACCATCACGTAGTGCAGACTCATGCTCCAAGTATTCAGCCCGGACACGCAGGCGGATATCTGATGATAGAAGAGGGGAAAGGAAGCAGTGGTAGAAAGAAGGCCAACGATGTGGTGGGGGTGGGGGGAAGGGATGACATAACAGTAGGGAGAGTGAATAATGAGATCGAGGCAGCAAGGAAAGGAGGGAGGCCAGAGATAAAGGAAGAAAGTAGAGTATGTTAGAGAAACAGTGAACAGAAGTGAAGAGTGGAAATCAAATCAAAGACAGAAAGGGAGGGGGTCATGAAGTCAAAACAAAGGGAAGAGAAACAGGGACAAGAGAAAATAGTTAAGAGCTCATTTATCACATCTACAGTGGAACATTAAATTAAGCAGTGGTTTAAAAAGGAGTTCAGGAGCACAGAGTTCCCAAAGTGGACTGTAGCCAAATAGGCTGACTAGTGACTGGAAACTGCACATCGGAATACTTCAAGATATTTCTTTCAATAAAAGCCTAACCAAAAGCAAATATATTTGCGTAGCAGGCCAGAGCAACTTAATTATGTAGGACACTGGAGTTATACAAACCCAACTATGCCAACTGTGTATATTTTTGTGCTCAATACTCCAGCAAGACCTTCCGAATTAGTTTTGGTGAAAATTGAAAATCTTGAGATTTTGAATCAAGAGAAATACTATACAACTGAACCAGTAGCATAGATCCTTTTCTTCCCAGGTAATTCCATAATTATTAAGTATAGCTGGAAGCTACATGACTGGCCGTAAGCAGCAGGAACTGATAGTCAGTCATGGCTGCACAGTTCATGAAGTGGATCCGTTCAAATTAACTTGACCCCCTTAGCAAATATTTTCATGAAAGGAACTTAGTGTCAAGCAGAGGGTTTTTGTTCCAGGCCGGTGTTTAAAAGCACCAAATTCATTCTGAGCTACATTAAATGCTGAAAATAGATGGCTCCCGGAGTTCCGCAGTAACAGGATTGGCGGTCATGCAACAGCACAGTGAGAAAGATCAGAGGATACATACTGTACTGAGCAAGAGCACCGCTGAGATCGTCCACCATGTCATTATTCCAGAGCTTCCTGTGGAAACCAGCTGCTGATGAGTTTTGCTGCAACAAAAATCCATCTCTTCCACTCAAACCCCTTTAGATGAGGTAAACAATATTTGCTACCAATGACATCCAACTTTCTAGAAACATTCTCATCAGGGGTTCATTGCAAATTTGTGCAGAAACCTTTCTTCAAGCTGTTTTGTATCTCTTGATATGTAAAATACCCCCCACCCCCCAAAAAACCTCTTCACCGCATCAAACTTTTAAGGGACTGATTAGGTGAAATCCTGACACACACAAAAAAAATAAAAAAAAACAAGACTGTAGTCAGAAAAAAGTGTCAGTAAAATGTTCCAAAAAAAAATCTTTAAATGTCAAAAACTTTTTTTTGTTTTGTTGAGAGGCACATTGTCACGTAACAGAATGTGTCTTCACATCACTCGGCTCAGTTATGAATAAAGCTCATATTTATGACTGATGCAAAGCCAATGGCTGGACTCTCAGTTATGGTACAAAAGGACCTTATTTCAAGAGAGCACCAAGGACCTGGCTGACACTTATCGAGGTCTGTACCAGGTTAACTATACTGTAGCTATGAATCCACTGATAAATGGTCCACATTTCAACTCAAGTCACATCTACCCCGTCTCCATTGATATTTTGTTTGGGACTGTGGGGAATGGCACAAGACTCGTGAGGGATAAAGTTTGGCAAATGCCAACATTAGAAATGCAAATGTTGAATTAAGGCATTGATTTTGCATCTCTTAACATTTAAAGGAGAGTGATAACCAAACGTCAGTTTCTGCAGTCATGCTTCATAAGGCTGTAATTAGATTACTATGAGGACCAGATCAAAAAGGATACTTAATCAATAAGCTTTAACAAATCCTTAAAATATGCCGAGTTGGAAATAAGATCCAACTGAAAACCCACTTGCAAAAGATCATCCAATTTACACTTAAAAAAGTAATAATAAAGGCATTGTGGTAAAAGATAAACATGTCACAGGTTTATATGAGGCACGTGATACTGTTTTGTTAAAGTCCTGATTCTATTATATCTTAAATGACAGTTTTCAGGTCAATCCATTGACATTTGTATCAACAGATTTAGGTTATATAAATTGTTATGGAAAACCTCTGACTGTGTTTAAGTATTCTAGTATTCTGAGGGGAAAACTATCAGAAAGTCAAATAGAGCATCTACAGTGACAAGAATCCAAACCCTTTGAAATGCCTGGATTTCTGTATTAGTTTGTCAGACATTTTAAACATTCAGTGCTAGTGGAAAAAGTAAGTCAACCCTTAGATTTAATAACTGGTTGAACCTCCTTTGGCAGCAATAACCTCAAACAAGTGCTTCTGATAACCACACAGTGTTCAATGACCATTCTTCCTCACAGAACGGCTTCATCTCAGCCATATCCTGCAGATGTCTGGTGTGAACGGCTCCTCTCTGAGGTCACTCCACAGTATCTCTATTGAGGTAAGGTCTGGGACACTTCAAAAAGGTGTTTTTTTTAAATTTTATTTTATCATTGCACCCTCCGCATTGTGCCTTTGCGTCATCTTAGCTGGGCGCCTACTTCTAGGGACAGCTGCCACAGTACTAAATTATCCAAGTGTACACTGATGAATATCTAAACTCTTTGAGATTCCTTTCTAACACCTTATAGCTTCAAGTAAATCAACAATTCTCAATTGCAAGTCTTCCGAGACCTCTTTTTTGCGAGGCAAGGTTCATATTAGCAGTTGCTTCCTGCAAACTCTAGATGTTTAAATTTTGCTTTTAGAAGTTAAAATACGTCTTACCCACTCCTCCAATCCTGACTGGACTATAGGTTTGCCAACTCCAGGCTGAGGTTTTGTTGATACCATTATCTGAGAGGTGAAAACACTTTTTCCAATCAACACTTAAAATTTGATGTCTTCAGTGTAGACAAAAAAAAAAAAAATACAATGATGTGTTATTTGTTAAGACAGACTGTAATTGTAACTTAGATAAAAATCTAAACCAATTGTAATACAAACATATACATAAATGCAGAAAATTTCAAAGGGTTTTTTTTCCTGCTATTGCATTTTGAAATAGGAACAGAAGACTACCTATCACATAACCTTTTATACTCTTTACAATATTCAGTACTGAAAGATTAAGTTCATGCAATTACTGTATTTATGGATAGTCTCCATTCCTGCCTTCCCATTTCATAGTGAGCAGGATGGAAGTAGAGATAGTGGCACTGAGGAGAAGGCCATTTAAAACCACAGGAACATAGTGATAGTCATTTTGTTAGGGTTACAGAGCACTTCACGCTTCATCAGACACAAAGACATCCACTTAGACAGGACATTAGGAGGCATAGCTTTCATTTTCTCACTTTAAACACCAAGCCCGTTTGGCCTCCTCCATCTCACCCTACCAAAAAAACAAAGTTTAAGTACCATTTAGGAGGAGCCACTTGGCACGGAGAACTTCAACTCTTTATCGATCCGTTTTTCTGCTGAACGACTCAACACAGAGTGAAGAGTTAGGGGAGTATTGAGAGACAGACAGACAAAACTCTCTTTGTTCCCCATAGACAACAGAAATCACTGTACCATTTTGCGTGGTTTGAGCATTTAGTGTTCGTTCTCTCCCTCTCATTGTGTGTAAGGATACTGTTTTCCTGACACACAGGTTGGTCTGTTTAGAACTGTGAACACAGAAAAAGGAGAGAAAGAGAAGCACAAATGGGTTGGATATCTGTTGACTGACTTTCTTTTTTTCTTTTTTTTTTTAACATCAAGCAAGCATGGCAGAGCACTCACTTCTTAGTTGTAAGAAGGTTTGAGTCAGGGTAATAAGTTGTATTGACAAGTTAATCAGCTCAAAAATGCCTTAACTGTAGCTCTACAATATAACATGGTAGCATCTAAGTGGGATGCTTGGTATTATTCTTACCTTGACCCATTCCCTTACATTCACCAGCCCATTATTTTGACTCAATTTTAACATTAATTTAGTCCATTAAACCAAGTAAGGGCCTTCACAAACATCCCATTTAGATGACACAAAACCACTACTGAGCTCAGGGTGCAAACACCTTCTGGGCATTTGTAATAGCAGTTGAATAGCAGCATTGTCGAAATGTAATTGAGACATTTCACTGAAATGATCTGAGAGATGAGTCATGACAAGAAGAAGTATCTCAAAGCTATTTAAATGCTAGGGGCCAGCACTGGACTGAACCGCCCTATCCATCTCTGTTCCCTCTTGACTAACGCACTCAAAAGGCTCACATGGGCACAGAGATAAGATATGGCAGGAGTTTCCTTCAGCAGAGCACTGTTGGGTTATTTTCCCCAGAACTGTGTGAGTAGTGGTTATATTGGCCTTCTTTAGCACTTGTCTGTTGGCAGCCATTTTAGATTCTCTGATGGAATGTGGCTCCAGTCCTTATGAAAGGATGAGTAGCTGTGCCAAATTAGCATTTTTATAACTTGGGACTCTGGAGCTGGCTTACCTGAAGTTCTGTTTAGCCAGTATCATTTGAAATTATTGAAACTTAAGGCAGATGTTTACAACCACTTTTAATAAATATAGCATAAGAGGAAGGCCCCAAAAGATCTCCCACATGTGATGATTACTGACAATTTCACAAACATGTCCAACACTGTTCTGATTTGTCTTTGTTATAGACTTTAGAAGCTTTCAGACAAAACAGTTCTAGGGAATACCCCACTGGGGAGCTCCCCCAAGAACTACATATCGTCAGGCTTTTTTCTGTTTGAATTCACAACAACAGTAGGAATGCTTAAGTGCCACAACACTAAACGCCGACTGACTGTTAGCAATTAGCCAACAAACTAACAACTGAGCCATTACATTACCGGAAAGTATTTTCTTTATATGTTGCTAACTTTAATTATATAATGAATCACTAAAGCTGAATTTATACTGCATGTGTCACTACATGTATGGGCACATATGTATTTGTTGTTCAGAGACTGTTGCCTAGCTTTTGCATTTATACTTGTACGAACATTATCATTCTATACAGGGGGCGCTCACACATCAAAGTACAGAAAAGAAGAAGAAAAAAAAAAAAATCAGGAAGCGCAAAAGGTAGAGATTTTGATCCAGGCTCGAAGCGGTTATAATTTTTGTCCTAGAATTGGTATTATGCCATGTTATTAAGCGTATAATATTTTTCAGGCGAGAAAGTAACCACTTAGGTGGTCAGCCCTGCCAGGTTATTCAAGTTGCTCTGATGTTTTCGGAGATGTGAGTAGTCTAAATTGCCTGTAACCCTCTACAGACACTTCTGTTAGCGGACTGCAGCTCCCCACGCTGCTGGTGATGGCTACTGATTGTTATTGTTTACATAGCTAACACACTTTAAATAAAAAAATAAAAAATAAAAAATAAAAAAAAATAAATAAAAAAAAGACAGCTGTGTTGCTATCAACGTACATAACTCATGGTTCCTATTGTGCTTGGGCAGTACATACCCTCAGGTAGGAGCTAAAAAAGTCCCTCAAAACTACATTCTGAGAACTATTATCATTCTCAGTTCCTGCAGTGCGGACACACAAAAAAATAGGGGTCGTTTGTCCAAAGGTTCTATGAACAAAGTTCCTCTGGTCCAAAAGTGCCTTTTGTTACAGTTCTAGACTGGTCTTCACTGTTCCAAGATAAAGTTTTCAGTTTATTACTGCAGTATCCTTCAAGGAGTTTTAATCTCCAACTGTAAAGCTAATTCAAAATTTGACCACAGACAACCTAAAACTAGACAAAACAAATAAACTGCAGTCTCCTTGTTTAGTTTACAGCATTTGAGGATATGCAACAATTGGATAACAAATTAGATAAACTGGATAAGCCAGAGGCATTTAGTGCTTAACTCCATGATTTAAGTCAGGAGAGTCCCTTAACAATTCTGCTAAAGACAGGATCTCATTATCAGTGATATTAAGCAGATATGTTTCTCTAATATCTGATATTTAAGATAACATTTTCTGTATCACTTTAATATAAAACAGCACAAATTATGTCATTAACTTTTGCATTTCTGTGATCACATGCTTTCACAACTACAAAAGTATTATATCCTAAGGGTGTCAAATATTAACTGGCTAAGAAACACTGACAATTACTGCTGGGCTCTCATCAAAATATGTTATATCCAAGTAGTTTAAGACAAAAATGTAAATTTGAGTCAATGTCAACACCTGTCCTGTACAACTCACTTATAGCAAAGTGTAAAAACAGAAATCCCTGCACAGTCAGAGAAGCTGAACACTGGCCAATTTTTGTGAAAATGTCTGCAGAGAATATCAGGGAATTTAGAACAGGCTTTCACTGCATATTGTTGTGGTTTCAGTGGGATCAAATTAACCGAGTTCTCTATACATTTTTGTTTTTGGGCATGTTTGCTTTTAACATCATATGAAGACTTTTTGGAAATATTTGAGGCTTACTGCTGAGGATTCAGTTCTGTGAAACACTGACACCAGCAACCCTTGTCAAAAACAGATAAATAAGGAATCTAATTTTTTCATTGACAGTGCACAGCACCAAAGAACATCACAAGTTGATTTTTAAAAGCATATTTCGTGCCCTGAGGGAGACAGGGTAAGGCACAGCTACATTATGATACACAAGCATCGAATAGAGAGCAAAGTGGCAGCACCATCCCCTGTTGTATAAAGGGGGGGGAGCCTCTTTTACCTTAGGCATCGGCCCAGACTTGTGAGAGAGCGCATGACTGAGTTGATCACACACACACTGCAGTATGTATGGACTGAGTGGAGTGACAGACTTTTTTGTTTTGTTCCTCAGTCTCTCCCTCTGTCTCCATGATCCATTGTGTCTTAGGTTACTCGATCTGAGTCACAATCTTGAGTCAACCTGGTGGAATCAAATGTGGAGTCAAGACAGCAACAGGTTTATAGTCACAGGCACATCACTCATCCTGAATAGCTAAGAAGGGCTGTCTTCATTGTTAGATGATTTTTAAATAAATTGAAAATCATCAGGCTTTTGTTGTGGCAAGTAGTTTTGAACAACAGGCAATGATGATCTTCCAAAGTGTTTGTGAAGGTCTGCATGACTGACTAATCTAAGTGTTATCTGAATCTTACTGTGCTGAGAGAGACTAGTACTGATTGATTAAAAGGCAGGCAATAGTTGGAACATGGAAGGGGACACTGACAACAGATTATATAGTGCAGCTTTCCAGAGGAGTTATGTCATTTTGAAAAACTGCTCAATATACTTTTAGGATGGTACATGAGGTTTGACAGCTGCCTCTTGTGACAACTTTGTATCAAGCTTGACAATAAAGCAGAACAAGGGGCTGCATCTAGTGATGACTGGACAACTTCTTTCAGAATAGAGTTGATAAAAAGACAGGATTCAACCTACCAGTCTACACACTTAGCAGCAACAGCTGAACATTGTCCAACATGTTAGAGAAAAGGTGAAATGAGGGGGAAAGAATGTAAAGAAGGGCCAGATGGAAAAACAGATAAGGCAACAAAATCTCCCTGATGTTGAACAGTTACGGTGACAGTGCAAGTCTAAACATAGCACACATCACATGACGATGAACATACCACGTGAACAGCTTGAGTAATAAGGAAAATCCCAATGAACTGAAAAGGGAGTGTAGGCAATGCTGGATTTCATGTTATTTCTGTGTACAACAGTTTAACCAATTGTTAAGACCCATAATTGCTGACATAATAAATCTGATATGCCTTGAAATTTAATGTGTTTGAGATGTGAAGTCAGCATCTGCTGCACAGGCTATGTGAATAAGGACTTCTGGAACTGTGAGACACTAAACTGAGTGAGACCTGAACTTATTTCTAGCATCACTGACAAGTAAGTTTGGTACGACTGCTTACATAAAAAGCTAATATTATGTTCAATAAAAGGTATCAAATGCCATGCAGCAGAGAGAGATTTTACATGCAAATGACAGTTCAGTCTTGTAATATTCCTTTTTCAGCTCAAATTTCTGGATTTTTACGAATGTGTTTGTGACCCTTAGATTTAAAACTAATTATATATATATATATAAAATACTAATATACCTGGCAAAGGTGTCCATTTTGATTCTGTAAAGTTCAAGGGCCTTATAAAAGTCAAAATATGCAAATAAACACTGTAGAGTCCACTGTTTTAACAAATTTTCACAAGGCATTAAAGAACACTGGACTATGTGTGGAAGGTTTCTGGTTTTTAGGGATGACTGCTTGGAAAAATTTCTGAAAACAAAACATTTAAAGTTCTGACTTGGTATGAAAACTCCTTAACTCAAGCTTAAATTCAGAATAGACAAATAACATCATACTTAAGGAGACAAAAAAGGATCTACAGCGTGGTTGGAGGAGATATTAATAGATAAAATTAAGTTTACATTGTTAAAGGAAAGGAAAAGGATCTGTGAGAGAATGACGGGACGAAAGCAGGACTGACGGCAAGTGATAAAATGCTATGAGAGAGACGGGTTAAGAATGCTGGGGTAGCACTTACCACAGGACACTTTATGTGGTGGTGGTGGTGGAGGAGACTGTGGGTGGCTCTGTCTGCTTGTTTTCTTGGGCCTACGACTCCATCCATTTCCTCTCTTCTTCCTCCTCCTCCTAGCGAGTGCCCCAGGCATAGGAGGGTAAATACCTGAGGAAACATAATTAGTTTGTGCTTGACTGACAAAAAGGTTTGTGGCAAAACTTTATCCTATACATCCAACCAAGCTAAATACACTACTACAGTGCACGTACCAGTTCTCAACTGTTGTGTGAAAGATGTAAGTGGCATTTCTGTCTCTCTACAGTTGTGCTGCATTCCAGAGGCGCACACCAACTTTCTGTTCTCTACTGCATACCTCTGTGCAATCCTCTCTGGAGATACTGAAAGACATAAACAGATGAAAAATCATTAGACTAGGACCATTAGAAAAAGAGTACAGTTATTACTGACAATCTACAAGGCCACAGCAGTCACCATAACCTCAAAATCTGATAAGCTCTCCTGTGAGTCATCCTCACCTGTCCTCCTTTTCTTGTGGGACACTAAAGGCAGCAGATCATGACGGGTGAGAACTCTTAGTAGTTGCAGTAATGGCTCCAGGTTGCCTTCGCTGATGTATCCTTGCCTCTCAAGTTCCAGCAACAGCTCAAGGCCGCTCTTGGGCTTATATGAGGCCACCAAGTAATGTTGGGAGCCATGAGGCTTTAAACGCCTCCAAGCCTTTAGCAGCTGGGGACTCGGGGACACTCCAGAGTCATTGGAATCTCCCTCAGAGGGCTCAACAGTCCAGCCTGCTGGATCAAGAGGGTGTGTAGCCGAACAGGTTTCATTCAAAAGGAATGACAGCACTTCAATGTCAGTCTCTGTCAGCTGAGAACCAACTATATCAAAGACCTCATGGAGAGACAACATCCCATAGTAGTTTAGGCACTCTGTTTCATCCCAGTAAAGTGAATCCCTGAGCGTGTTCCCTGGGTGATGCACTGCAGCCATGGTCTGTGTATAGCCCCTCTCCAACCTGCCACCTGTTGAAAGACTTTTCAGGATAAAAGAACAAAAACAAAACAAAAAAATTAATGGGCATGTAAAGCTTCAACTCTAAAAATGCTACATTAAAAAAATAGCATCATATGGTTCTAGTATTTAGCATGTTAGCCTGATGAGGCTTACAGCTACCAGTAGAAACTAAATGCTGTACTCTACTGCAATGGCTGCATGTAAATTGTACTTGTTTTTTCCCCATGTAAAAACTGCAGGTATATTTAAACTCACACCTAGCTTTTACATGTATTTCCTGCTATGTTGTATATACATACATTCCCAGTACATTAACGATACATTTACTGAATTGTGAGAAATGTGAGTAAATTATATCCTATATAGATGCCTAACAGTTTAAGCTCGACAAGGGGCTGGCAAACCCAGTGTAGGCAAAATAAGAAAACCAGCAATCAGCAAAAAACCAACAGCAAGCCCCGTGTGTCATGACACATAACCCGAAGACGTTAATGTTATCGTAACATTTTAGCCTTCCGCCCTGTTTCAAGGCCCGTTTCAGAAAGCTCGGTAGTCGTACCTATTTTCTCCGTAAGCTCCACGCTATCTTGGAACAAATAAAGTGTCAGCTGTGAATGTGCTATGTCGTCGTCGTTGTTGTTGTTGTCGTCGTCGTTGTCGCCAAAACAGCTCAAAATCAAAGTGACTGTTGTTCAGACGCCCAGCAGAACAAACTAGCGTTAGCTATCCGTTGTCGCGTTATCTTACGTAATCAGTCACGTTTCTGTGTGGAAAAAAACACACACAATATACAAGCGTAAAGATATACTTCAGACAGATAAATAACCAAATAAATTAACAGCTAGTGCCACACTATGCGTATTTTTGACACATTTAACAAATACATTTCATTATTAACAGAAATTAATCTTGCATTTGAGATTATAGCTACTAACGGAAATGCTTGCAATAATGTTTTTAACTTCAGATAGCTATAGTTACATGAGTCTCAATTAAGGTCCTGGGTTATATCAGTGTTGACACAAAAAAACTACTATAAAAGTATTATTTTAAAACGCAAGGCCACGGACAACTTACCTTCACCGATATTGTCATTACATAATTTAGCACAGTACAGCACAAAGACGCAATGAGTGAAACCAACCAACCAACCAATCACAGGGCTCTATGTGCTCGATGACTTCCGGTCACGTTTTTGTGACTGATCTCAGGTCAGATCTGTAAACATTCCTACGTGTCTATTATTGAGTAAGCATAATTTTAAAAAGACGAAATGCAGTAACATACGGATTTCTGTTCATATATAAGTTGACAAAGTAATTAAATTCGATTTTATGTAGGCTGTAATATTTGGTAGTTTAATGTATAATAAAAAGTATTTTGCATAACCTTGGCTGTATCGGCAGTACTGACTGTAGGTGGCGGTGTTTTGCGTGTAGACAGCAGGAAGTAAATAACATTCACATCACATCCGTGAGCCACAACAGCAACAAGGTACTAGAGGAAGTCCCATCAAATTTATACTGTGAGTATACTTGGTTAAACTAGCGTTATTACAGTTTTCGGGTAGCTGTGGTCTTACCTCTTTTAATTTAAAACACCCACGCACTGGCGTGTACAGTCTGGACCTGTAACGTTAGTGGACACGAGCCTTAGCGTTAGCAGAAAAGCTAGCTATGACAATCTTTGAGCCATCGCTTTAAATGAAGTTCTTTTTACTACAAGTTATTTTCATACAGGCCAGCGTGCATATACGATTACAGAATCTAACAGTATAGTCCACGTTGCTTTATAAATGAATAGTTTATGATGGTAAGTTGGCAGCAGAATATTCTGTGTGTTCAGTGATGTGGCAATGTCTGGCCTGGCTTTGTTGACTAAAATTTTCCACTACTCAAATGCCCTGCTCCACCTGAGCTGAGCTAACTATGTCTATTGTATTCTATTGTATTCCTATTACTCAACTTGTGTGAGTAACAGGAATGTCACGAGTAGAATAAGCTTAAATGTTAGAAAGCTATGATGTACATTTAATATAAAACAGACCTTTTCCTGGGATCAAGTTACAGGTTCACTTGCATCTTTTTCCAGCAGTGGAAGTAAACTAAGCCCTGAAAATTGATACAAACAAGTCTTACAGGTCTCCCAACTTTTATTGTTTACTTATAACAACAACTTATTCAAAGGCAGTGTTGGAAAAATTTGTTACTACACCCACTGATGCATTATTTATAAAAAGGCAGTTAAGAATGGAAGCCTTTTCACAATTTCATCCTACAGCAGGATAATGACCTAAAAACACATCCAGGCTGTGTAGAGAAGAAGAACAAGATGGCAGGCTTCAAGTGATGCACTGGCAGCAGGTGTCCAGCCTTTTCAGATGTAGAATGAAGTTAAAGCAACCTGCAAGTGCAACACATATGTGGGAACTTCAACAGCACTGCTATCAGTCGTAACAATTTGTGATTTCAGTTGTAGAAAGAAGGCCACAAGTGTTGTTGAATCACAACTGGAAAAAAGAGAGATGCTCTTTGCTGAGTAAAAACATAATTTTCAAAAAAAAAAATAAAAAATCTTTGTTGATTCCCAGGACTAGTGAGCATTAGAATTATTTGTTGCCTGATGAAAGCACTGCTACACACCTGCCTGATCTGTATAAATCTCTTAGAAAAAAACATCAACAAGGGCAAAATGGAAATGGTGTATGCAATGCAAATGATATTTAAATGGAATTCATTTTTACGCTTTTGCTACTAATGCTTTGCAGAAGGGAGTTTGTAAATGTTGTCTGGAGCTCCAAAGGGAGAAAACTGTCTTATAGACATGGACAGCAAGGCAGGAGATCTGTTCAGTGCTGAGGAAGCTCATCCAACTGGCACAGGTGGAGCTGGAATCCTGTCAAAGTAAGGGTTTATATCATTTTATTCTATATTTATTCTGTTAAGTTGTAGTAATGATAATACTCTTATTCAAAGGGTTGTGACTCTATGTACAAATCTTTTCACTTTAACCCTGTGGAAATGCACTGAAGGATCTGTTCCAGTTGTTACTGTGTACATTTATGAATTTTTTATACTTATATATTCATTTCTTACTGCATTTTTTGTGTTTAATAAGATCTTGCTTTTGTGTATTTTATAGGCTCTGGCTCCCTAGAGGCCTCTCAATAGGTGTGGCTAAAGAGTGGATTGAACGGCGGCGAGTGTCTATTAGACCATGGGCCAGCTTTGTGGACCAGCGCAAGTTTTCAAAACCCCGCAGCTTTGGAGAGTTGTGTCAGAGGGTGGTGAAAAATGTGGAAACTTACAATAGCAACTACACCTTCATCTTCCTGGGTCTCATCCTCTACTGCATGTAAGGCCAATAAAGAGTTAATCATGGTTTTGGAATATTTTCACCTACTCTTGCCCAGCTCTTACTCACACAGTCACTTCCATATGCACAGATACTTTCTGAAAACTGTTTGGAAGGTTTCTAGATATCTATTTTATATGTATTACAAAAAGAGGAAGAGAACAGAAATCTGTGTGAAATATGATTTTAAAAAGCAAAACAGTTAAAGCATAAAATATCAAAATGCTGCTTTACTTAACACCAAATTGATTGTTGCTGATGTTTCTTCTCCTCAGTATCAGTTCCCCCATGCTTCTGATTGCCTTGGCTGTATTCGCTGGTGCCTTCTACATAATCCACCTCAAGTCACTGGAGTCCAAGCTGGTTGTCTTTGGTGAGAGTCTTGTAAATGTGTCCCTGTAAAATAAAGTGACTTCTTAATCACCTTGGAAGCATATTCTAAATGTATGTGTTTGCGTGTTTCTGCCAAGTCAAGCCTATCAAGATTAATTCAAAGATTTGAAACGACAGTTGTTCTGAAAAATTGATTTTGTGAATTGTTAACTGAACCTGTCGAGGTTTTTGAGCAACTTGACAGCTGACACTTTTCATCCAGTGTTAATATAAATGAAATTGGTTGCATGTCATCTCCTTGTGACATTGACAGGAAATGAAACATGTCAAAACAGTCGAATAATTCAAAAATGGATTTGATGAATATGTGCAGGTTGTATATAAGAAAACCAAATATATGCTTGAGCTTTTAATAATTATTACCACTCACTCAGTGAGACTTGCAGGAGGCAACATAATCAAAAACATTTCTAATTAGTGGCATAATGTTGTTGATGTAGTTAAATGTTCATACTGTTCAATGTAAACCAGGAAGGGAGCTGACTATGCCTCATCAGATGAGTTTGGCTGGAGCCATTTCTCTACCTGTGTTCTGGTTGGCTGGAGCTGGAGCTGCGGTCTTTTGGGTTCTGGGTAAGCCAAACCACATTAGCTGTTTTATTATTATTATTCTAGACGTGTAGAAATATCTTTTGCAAAGCTTGTTAGGGCACTGAACTCTGATGTATTTCTGTAATATTATGTATTAAAATCTACTGTTGCATTTAATTAAAATCTCTAAATGACATTATAGTAATTGCCTTCATCAGTGGACGCTCTAAGAAAATCTTTTCCTTCGCATTTCCCTTTCCACTTGTCACATCTCTTGTCAGGAGCGACGCTGTTTGTGATTGGCTCTCATGCGGCATTCCGTGAGCTGGAGGGATCTGACATGGAAGAGCTCTTCATGGAGCCCGTGTGAAGAGCAGGCTGAACTTTCAGCAGGTATCTGGCAACAATCAGTCTTCATTTCCACCCTGTAATCACGGTAGTCCAGAGGGTTGGGGAAAAACTGTTCCTAGATCTCTTCCTTAGCTACATCTGTATTCCCTGTATTTTACCTATTCCTGTGTACAAAGAAAGCACCTTGCCTTGCCTTTTAAATGATTATTGTTACAGACTGTATAGCCTTTTCAACTCACTCATACACATATCCTGTCATATTCAGCAATTAATTTGTTAATGAGTATTTAAGCACAGTGTCACACATTATATGCCTTCCTTTGTATATTTTAAACCTTGGATGCCTCTGGTTTGTGTCAAATAACCCCTTGCCCTCTGCAATGTCCCTTAAACTGTGACGTATCCTTCAGTTTATTAATCTCTTAAAGCACCATTTGTACTGTTCTCTGCTGCAGATATCTTGGTAAAGAGCTGCTGCCTGTCAGGAATGCAAATTTTATAATTTAAAGATTATGTACACTTGTCATGTTAATACTTCCAAACTGTTAAACCATTGATTAATGGTCCAAAGGAAAAGTGCCATTTAAAGCTTTAAATATATACCATGCACAAATGTGTTATTCAAGAGATTGCAAAAACAAATAATGAGAAGACATTTGTGAAGGTGACCAGTTAGTAGAGGTGTTTTATATTGAGGACAATATGGTACTTTGCTGACTTGACTGTCTATATGCATATTTATCAGCTCTGCTTACAATATTCACATTTGAAAGTCATTCTGTAAACCTAAAACTTTTGTTTTTTGAAATTCATTTGTTTGCATTTTATGTCAGTTGGGTGGTTTTGTATTTAATGAACTTTATGGAAGTGCAATAAACCCCTGATGTAAAGTTAATTTATTTAGCCTGTTATTAATTCAAGCAATTTGTTCAATTCAATAAAATCTACAGTTGATTCATGTTTGTTTGTGCATGGCAGGAGTTGCAGTGAACTACATGGCCCTCAGCACTAAGTTTGTACATTTCATTCATTATTCTAGTCCAGTCTGAATACACAGAGGAATATAATAGGACAGTTTCAACCCTCATGGCTCCTCTACACCAAATACTGCAGAGCTCGCAGACCCTTTCTTGTCCCCCGTTGGTCCCCCTCTTGTCCCCCTTTTCATGTGACCCCTGTGACCTGTGCTCTTGTGACAGCACAACGTGAGGACCCCATGCTTAGGTTGCCATGGTGATGACCTTGGAGGGCCCCAGTCAGAGACACACTCGCTTACACACTGCGGCAAAGGCGAGCGATCGATATTCTATTATACAGAGGGTGGTGAGGGGGGAGAGAGGAGAGTCGCACTGCAGCGAGCTCACTGCAGAGACACAGGGGAAATTAGACGTAGGGTGTGAGTGTGTTTGTCAGTGAGTGGCAGAAAATGGGTGGGCATGTGTGGTAGTGTGTCTATGTATGAGTGGGAAACGATGCATTTGTCATTGGATCGGAGTAGCGTGGTGTCAGAAAGTTTGTTTCTTACTCAAAGGCACACATCCTAAATTTTCCCTGGATGTGGCAAAGTCACCTCTCACAATATCTAGTCCTTGCCTCTCACATTATAGAGCAGAAAGAGCAGTATATTGTGTATAATTTAATTGATTTGTGTGCTAGTTGGCCAATCATAGGTTCATTTAAAATAGATGACCCCTGTAGCACAGAGAGGTAGCACTATTATAGTCTGTTCCCTAAAGATAAAAGATTTACTACCCTGCTGTATTTGTAACCTTTTGGAAATATTAATCACCAATGTTGTTATTGTTTCCTGAACATATAAATCATCTACTAGTTCTGATTTCTTATAGTCTTGAAAAATGAGTTTTGGGAATTAGTAGGGCACTGTTCCCTTTATGAGACTATTCTGCTGACAATTATTCTCATCCTGACGCTCATCTATGGTGATGTCAGGACTGATACATTCACAGGGTGGTTTAGTGCAATAGCTTGGGCTGCCGCCAACTCTTCCCCCGTGAGAGTTTAACCTTACGCAGTTTGCAGGTTGAAGTGCATATTAAATGATAACACTAGGTGGCAACCCAACCTCAAATTTCAATGCCCACAACACATAAGTCTTACAATAATGTAATAATGTCAACAAAATTGTATCACATACACTGTATGAGTATTTTGTTACTGTGCATACATTTCATAGTGTGATGTAAAGCAAGGCAGTATGATTTCATATTGGAATACACGTATTGGGACCATAAGGCTGTTGACAAATATTACATAGTCAAGCTATTAATTTATGTGGAAAACATCTTTACATGGAGGGGGAATATTCATTAACACAGTCAGATACAGAATCACAAACTACAGTTAAATATTTCTCCTCCAACATCTCCTGAGATGCTCCCTCAAAAATTAAACATTATGAACTTCAAAGAATAATTAGCCTTATAGGGCTATTATTATATTGATTATATTGTGTCCACCCAGAATATGCAATCTGCATTAGTAGTACACATTTTAAAATATTTTCAAGCAAGTGAAATAAAGAATAAGATTTTTTTTTTTTTTTTAAATGAAATGCTTCAAAAGTCAAATCAGACAGACACACAGACAGGTTTAGGTTGTATTAAATATTCTAGACATATTTATTTATGTGGGTTTCATTAATTTGACACACATGTTCTATTAGTTTTGTATTTTTTCCATTGAATTTCAACCCTTTCAGCCATCTGAGAAGAGACCCAGCCCGAGACCACTGGCCCTGCACTGGTCTCCAACACATAACATGCACACAGACCCAGGCTAACCAGACTATACCAAGCACTGGAGTGAACCAGACCTGGACCTAATCTGGTAATAGAACCCAGGAAAATGAACTCGTCATCACCACTCACCACATCACAGCACAGTGGACCACATCATACCAACACACCTGATAAGAACCTGAAAGCCTTGATTGGTGTCTTGTGTCTTTTGGTAACACAACCTAAAACCCTGCTCGGGTGTTGTTGCCTCCTGAAACAGCAAAAAAAAACAAAACAAAAAAACAAAACAAAAAACAAAATGAGAGACACAAATCTCTTACTTTTTCCTATCTCACCAATATGTTTATGTTCTTCATGGATGTCTCTCTTGAGCTGTTTTCAATGCGTCTTATTCATTCATTTAAATTTAGTATAGAATTATACAGATTTCCTAAAGCACACAGAAATACTGAGTTGTACAGTATTTGCCAACTTTTTTTTGGGCGGGGGGGTACTGTAATACTTTTTAACAAGGATAGTGGTTCACACAGTGCACACAGAGACAAATGGGGCAGGAGGGTGGGGAGGGGAGGGGTGGGGTGTGAAAGACAAGAGGGAGAGAGAAGTGCAGACAGGGCACCATGGGGTGTGCTTTGTTAGGCCTAAATAAGGAAAGGCAGCTATCACAGACCCCCCACCCATCTTAGAAATAAAAGAAGTAAAATAATCAGAGCCCACTGTCCCACATATTAAAAACCAACACTATAACCACTGACAACAGAAAAGGAGGAAAATGGATGCAGTGAAAACAACAGGGAGACGATCACTCCACTGGTGGTGTCGGCGGTGGGCTCTCACTGTGGGATCTTTATATTTGTGTCTGATTTGGAGAACAAGCCAAGGGATGGCAAGGAGAGAAAAGAGGCAAGCGAAGGTACAGATAAAGACAAGATCGAGATAGGGGATGAACTGGGAGGGGAAAGAGCTGGATGGTTCTTTTTTGCAGAGCATAGACACTCCCATTGTATCATTAGCTCATTCAAATCTACATACACAATATGCAGCTGCCGTTTGTTAGATATATTGGTGTATGTACACAGCAGTGAGAAGACACATGCAAAGAGTATCGTGATGAGAAAGGAGGGATGGGTCAATGTATAAAGTGGTAAAGGTGCTTTTGTTGTTTTTAATCTTTGGGGCAGTTGTGATGAAAACTGCTTTAAAGCGGTTTTTGTCTTTGAGGAGGCAGAGCATCTGGAGATGTGTCTTGCCAGGGATGGACTGATGGAGGAGAAATAAGTGGAAAATGTCAGGGTTTGAGCAAAGATGCTCACTGGATCAATAGTATGTCTCCCTCTCCACCCAACCTGGAGTGCAAACAAGAAAAAGAAAAACAGAGGAAAAATTTAGTTTATTTAACATTATTTTCAAACATACTTTTTTCAGTGTACTCATTTGCTTTGTTGGCAATAGATGAGAAATTTGAACCCACTCTCTTGTCTGTGCAATAAATATGAAGCCTCTGCCAGCAGTCAGTTAGCTTAGTTTGCACAGACTAGAAACAGTGGGAAACAACTGTTCTTGCTCTGATTGAATTAACAAAATCTGCATCTCCAGAGTTCACTGATTAACACGATAGCTTGTTTAATCCATTCATAAACTAAAGGGTAAGAAGTACAGTACAGTGCTATGTGCTGGATAGTTGATTAACTAGGTTCAGCGGCTCCCTGTAGTTTCCACAACAGGTTGTTAACATATTCCTTCACAGAAACCTAGGTTTAAGAGATAAAGCACTTACTGAGACAAAAAAAAACACCTCACTCACCTCCAGGGTTTCGACGGAGTATAAGTTTTCGGACTTCATCATATACAAAGATGAGAAAACTATAAGGGAATGCACAAAACCACCAGCTAGGCCTGTGGGAAAGACAAGAAGCAGAATGATTAAAATAATAAAATGAACAGGCAACTATGTCTCTCTACAAATGAGTCGGTGAGTGGCTGCATATGTATTGATGTGATACATATTGTAATAGTGCTTACTTTAGAGGATACATCCTGAGTGCCACATCCATGCCTGGGCAGTAGGACAGGAAGGCAGCCAGGGCTGTCTCTTCAATAAGGCCAAAGATCAAGATCTTGTTCCTGGGTTGAAAAACACAGCAAATATTGAACAGGAGAAATGATGATACAGAAACTGAGATACCGGTCAGCCCGATGTAGATTCATGATTTTTGGAAATGTGATACATATAGCAATGAAAGGATCCATGTAAGTATATTGGAGTCATGGCAGAGGTGTTGGACTCACTTCATGCCCTGCTGGAACACAGAGTTACGTCTGGTCTTGCAGATGATGACATCAGCCCATTGCACTACTACAATACTGACAAAGAAGGCTGTGTGGCACGTGAACTCCACAATCTTCCTCTGCTCATATGTCTGAGGACGGGAGTGCAGAGAGACAATACGATTAAGTAACAAAACCTGAAAACACACACATTCTCACTTAAACAAATACAGAAACTATACACTTACCCATTGCTGTCCATAGCTGTCTTCTAGGTCGTTGACAGTCCGCTCATCCCACCTGAGTCTGATACCTACTAGATGACTGGGCAGGAAACCATTTTCAGCCAAGATTACAAAGTAGGCGAAGAAGCCTCCCAGAGCCTGGATCATACCTGAGGAAAACATACATAAAGAGAGGTTAAGTAACTGATTTTTAAGTTCTCTAACTTCCTAAATCTAGAGTTCCCAAAACTCTGCAAAAGGTCCAAAGTCTGGCTGTTTGTAAACAATAAAGGATGGATAAAGTTTATTTTTAACACAAAAATACGTTCAGGCATCCAAGATCAAACTTTCAGATCCAGATCAAAGACAATTCACAGCCTGGATCAGTGGTCCCAATCTTCATTTCACCTACCAATTTGTCCATAGGCAATGCTGATAAGCCTCTCATTCACCAGCTTGTCCCTGAATGGGTTCCTGGGCTGACGCTTCATGATGTCGCTCTCAGCTGCTTCATAAGCCAGGGAGATAGCTGGCACCTGAGGGAGGGGAAAATCTTTTAGAACAGCATGATGTGTCATAATAACAGGAGCTGGCTACACCGATGCCTGCGTGTGCACATAAAGCTGTATGTCATATGAAAGAGCGTGTTTGATAAGGTCTCACCATGTCAGTTCCCAGGTCAATACAGAGGATGGTGATGGTTCCCAGTGGCAGGGGAATGTTGATGATGATGAACAGCAAGAAAGGGGTGATCTCGGGGATGTTGCTAGTCAAAGTGTAGGCGATGGACTTTTTGAGGTTATCAAAGATCAAACGGCCTTAAGGGAGAAAAAAACAGTACTAAGTTCTACTATTGGACTCATGCCACAAAAAAAAAAAGAGTTGGACCTCTGAAACCTCACAAACAGTGCTTTTGTGTCAAAATATTTCTTTTGAATCCCCTACATTTTAATTGAAATCTTATCTTCTGTCCTCCCCTTTCAACATATTCTTTCAGATTTTATTATTATAGACTTTTTATTGTTTTAAATGTTTTCTGTCTCCAGCTCTGTCTTTTGGAGCTTCTCACCTTCTTCCACGCCTGTGACAATAGAGGCAAAGTTGTCATCCAACAAGATCATGTCTGCAGCCTGTTTGGACACATCAGAACCTGAGATTCCCATGGCAACGCCAATGTCGGCCTTTTTCAGTGCAGGAGAGTCATTCACACCGTCTCCTGTCACAGCTACAATAGCACCCTGGGAGAGAATAATGAGGGCCGTGGAAAACCAGGTTACAAACATCAAAGAAATGTATGAATTTTCCCTTATTTACTCAGGTTATCGTGAGTTTAAAGACTAGCTGTTTTAACAATCTATGCAAAAACTATTAATACTCTTTACATTCGTATCAACACAAAATTATCCAATAAATAAGCCAAAATAAATAAACGGATTAAAATGAACTGATCCACACTTGATGAATATATTACAAAGACATGAATTTATATTTAAATGATTGCATAAACAGCCTTATTGTTTTCAGCACCTGCTTATGGAAAAAATCTAGTTTTATAAAAAATACAATGTATAAACTGAATAAATGACTCAAAGCCTGATATATTTTCCACATTTTAAATGAAACTGTAACATTTAATGTGAACAAATGTATTTAAATTTTAAAATGAATAAGTATTTTAATGTAAACAAAGTTAAATTAAAGCCTTTGGGTAGGTCAAATGCACTCGAACCATCCAAGTAAAAAACAGGATTTATGTTCACCAGTCAGGGACTATTCATTCAACAGATAACTAGTGCCATCTGCTGTTCTGAAAGTGTAGCCCACTCCCTGAATTTACCCAATGTAGCTCATAAAAATCTAATTAAAAAGCTAAGGTACAGCAGTACTGTATGTATTTCACAGTTTATTAAACATTTCATAAAAAAAAAAACAAGAAAAGAAACATCTAAAGTCACAAGGTCCAACCTGTCTCTGGCAGCCCTCTACAATGATGAGTTTCTGTTGTGGGGACGTCCTGGCAAACACGATCTCGGTATGATTCTTTAGGATGTCGTCCATCTGATCCTGAGACAGGTCTTTCAGGTCTGTACCATGGATCACACAGGCCTTTGCATCCCTGTAGACATTAAAACATCAATGTGTATCTCATAATTTTCCATCATTTACGGTATATGACTGTGTGTGTTTTTCTGTATGCACTATTTACCTGGGGTTAACCTGGTTGACAGGTATGTTGAGACGAGCTGCAATGTCCTCCACTGTCTCATTGCCTTCTGAGATGATGCCCACTCCCTTGGCAATGGCCTTGGCTGTGATTGGATGATCTCCAGTGACCATAATCACCTACAACAACAAGAGCAACAATGATGACATTTCATCATGGGGTTTCAAAGACACTGACAGAACCTAAATTATAAAACAACAGTAAGAAATTAAGAGATCATACATTAGGAATGTCAAAAACGTTCACCTTGATACCAGCAGATCTGCATTTACCAACAGCATCAGGTACAGCAGCACGAGGAGGGTCAATCATGGACATGAGGCCAACAAAGCAAAGGTTGTCTGTCTGGAAGTTGACGTCATCCGTGTCAAAGGCAAAGGCCTTTGGGTACTGGTCTTCTGGAAGCAGCAAGTGGCAGAAACCTGGAAGGAACAGAAATGGGTGATTTAGTGTTTAATTTGTGATGTCCAGTATAAAAATCAACCAAGATCTTCTGTCCCTACCCTTACTTACCTTCGACATAACCACCAATATCCAGTCCTTAGGAAATTACATTTACAAAATACTTTTGTTTCAATAATTCATCTGTTCTGACTGCAGTTGCCTCAAATGCAAGTACATTATTAGATTTTTGAGCTAATAACGTCTATCACAATTACAAACAGTGCAAATGTCATTTAAGTTAAAGTAGGGTACAGTAACATTATCCAGTGATTTGAATGCCTGAATTAGTTCTTTTGTACATCTACTGATAAAATATTAATTAATGGCAGCTTTTCAGAAAGTAATAGGTGTACAGTTTTGTGTTTTTGTTAAATGTTAATGTGTTATATGTGAGGAACTACCTTACAAAATAAAACATATCATCACATACTTTGTGACTGTATGAAATCCATAGTTTGTCCATTCAAACATCAGTCATATTTATCCACTCTCACCCTGTGTCCTGGATTGTTCACCTTTACCTCTGTCCACTTCTATGTGTCCTTACCCAGCACTCTCTCTCCCAGCCCTCCCAGCTCCATGTAGGCATTCTGGAAAGCCTCCTTCAGCTCCTCATCCATAGGCTGCTCCTTGCCCTGTAGCAGGATGGTGGAGCAACGGTCCAGGATCCTCTCGGGGGCCCCCTTCATCACCAGCAGGTAGCGGTTGTCATTAGGATCTTCTGTTTCATGCACTGAGAGCTAGAGAAAGAATATGGAAAATAAAAGTTAAGATGAATTCCTCTGACATGTTTGCATAATGTGTACTGGTATTACAAGTGTAATAGATATTAGTTTTTATATGCAGGTATATTCTGCATTTACCTACCTGGTATTTGTTGGTGGAGTTAAAGGGGATCTCAGCCACCTTCTTGTTCTTTTCCCTCATCGCCCTGACTGAGCCACAAGACAGCTCGATACACTTCAGCAGGGCTGATTCTGAGGCATCGCCAGCAACGTCGCGCTTCAGGATGGGCAATGAGTCTTGTCCTGCTTTGAACTGAGCACGGTTACACAGAGCGGCGACACGAGCCAGAGACAGCCATGTCCCTGAACTCTTGTCAAATGAGGCACCTGGTCAAGGAACAAAAATTGTCCATGAATCAGTGCAGTAGTAATTGTTTATCCATTTTAAAGTATTTCAGCCATCAGTGATGCGTGTATGCCGTCTCCTTACTAACCAGACTGGTCTTCTGTGGTGTCAGCCTCGTGGATCTGGTTGTCAAACCACATGTGGGCCACAGTCATCCTGTTCTGGGTCAGGGTGCCTGTCTTGTCAGAGCAGATGGTGGAGGTAGAGCCCAGGGTTTCCACAGCCTCTAAGTTCTTCACCAGGCAGTTCTTCTTAGCCATACGTTTGGCAGTCAGGGTCAGACATACCTGCAGACAAATAGTCAAAAAGATTATTGTATTTGGATGTATCAACTATGAAGCTAAAAGGGAGAATTTCACAGTTTCTGGATGCAAAACAAAGCAGAAATAATGGTCAATTTTTAGAATCTTTCAAAATGAAAGAGAAAAGCAATATAAATTTCACCAAATGTGCAATAAATGTACAGTACTATGCATGTAACACTTAAAAACTACGACAAACCATAATAAAAGACGTATAGACAAGGTAGGCACTAAAATCAGCAAACAATACTTTAAGAAATGAAATGTCATGTATCCAAAAAGAACCTTATGAGCCAAAAAAAAAAAAAACACACCATGATACCAAAGTGTGAACACTTCCAGAGAAATATCTAATTCCTCATCTACTTACAGTGACTGTAGCCAGTAGGCCTTCTGGCACATTAGCCACAATGATGCCAATGAGGAAGATGACAGCCTCCAGCCAGCTGTAACCCAGGACGATGGCTAGGACAAAAAATGTGATGCCCAAGAAGACGGCCACACCTGTGATGATATGAATGAAGTGTTCAATCTCCTTGGCAATGGGGGTTTTGCCTGTCTCCAGGCCAGAGGTCAAAGTAGCAATGCGACCCATGGCTGTGCGGTCTCCAGTGCAGATAACAATGCCACGTGCTGTGCCTGGTTTGGGAAAACAATGTTGTAAAACATTACTTATAGCACCTGTATCTACTTTTATGTATAAGAGGAAAGTTTGAATGTAACTTTAAACTTTTTTACTTGGGTCAGTTTGGTGTCTTTAAACCACTGACACAAGTTAATGATAGCATCTAATACTATTGCCATGGTAACAATACCTTCCACACAGTTGGTGGAGAAGAAAGTGATGTTTCGGGTCTCCAAGGGGTTGTCATGGGTACAGTCAGGTGACCTACTCTGAGGTTCTGACTCGCCTGTCAGGGAGGAATTATCCACCTATTAGGAAACATGAAAAATAAAACATGTAGTTGTACAACAACAAGAAGCAACAATTTGACTTGAGTGTGTATATACATGTGTGAAGGTAACACTGGTTATATACTTAAAGTTTAGAATTTATTCATATTTTAATCATTTAATAATTATTTGTATACATTCATCACTTACACGTTTGGTTTCATGTGTGTTTTTCTATATGTCAGACTAAGACCAGCATATAAGGGTCTCAGAAATTCAACAATCAACCTAGGCAGTTCTCCACAACATATGTGAGTGCGTGTCAGTTTGTACCTTGCAGCCATGAGCAGAAACCACCCTGATGTCAGCAGGGATCCTGTCTCCTCCCTTCACTTCAATCAGGTCTCCGGCCACCACCTCTTCAGCGTTGAGCTGTACCTTCTCACCCTCCCGGATCACCAATGCTTGCTGCAGGGAGATATGCAGTGGTGAACAAGTAGTAAAGGCTGTGAGTCCTTTACTTAAGTAAAAGTAGCAATACAACCATGTAAAAATAAGGTGTTACAAGTAAAAGTCATGCATTCAAAATGTTACATAAGTAAAAGTACAAAAGTATTGGCATAAAAACATACTTAACGTACTCATTACACAGAATGGCACATTTCTGGTTATGTAAAGGAACAAGTAAAGTTCTAAAATAAATATAGTGGAGTAAAAAGGCCAATATTTGCCGCTAAAATGTAGTTAAGTCAAATGATGAAGTAAAAGAAAATTAAAAGTAAAGTACAGATACCTAAAAACTGTACTTAAGTACAGTACTTGAGTAAATGTACTTAGTTACTTTCCACCACTGGGGATATGACTGATAGTTACATACACATTTGACTATACATGTTGTGAGTAAATTTAATGCATTCTGAATCAAAACACACAGTATACACAAGTATCTGTAGACTGAGTGGCAACCACCAGCTGTTCAGTATTTTCCCTCCATCTCAGTTAAGGTGTAAATGTTTGTCAGCTAACAGGCAGTGGGAGGACAGGCAGACATATTAAATGTTACTGTAACAGTAGGTGGCAGTAGTGGCTTGTTCAATAATTTAAGTAATGAAACAGATTATCATTATAAAGGCTCAATATAATACTAAATATGCTGAATGAAACAAACTAGGTTCAATGCCAATGGGACTTGTGATGTAGAGTATTTTTACCATAAGCTTTACTGGTAAAAACAAAGCAGCAATACCATGGCAGCTGGGGCACCGGAAAATTGCCATAAAATTCCAGAAAATAACTATTTTCTAAAAATACAGTAATTTCCCATAATTTAAAATACAGCTTTTTTTAATTTTTCATTAAAAAAAATACTAACCTTTAAAGCCCAAAAAAGTTCCTTTTATAAAATTATAAAACAGAACATTTCAAGTATATTGA